GGGCAGAAGAAGCGGCAGAGCCAGGGCAAGTTCGTGTCCAACAGCAGAGCCTGGGCCCGGGACAGCGACGCGGTGAGGGGGGCACAGGGGTTTGGGGAGGGGGCTTTGGGGGTGCTGGGGGGGGGCTGCAGGGCAGCTCTGACCCTTTCCCCCACCCCAGGGCACCGTGACCTTGGCCTACGACCCCGCGACGGCGCTGCAGAACGGGTGGGTGCCCCAGGGCCCCCCCAGCCCTGGTGGGGAGGGGGCTGCCGGCCGTGGCCCCCCCAACCCTGACCCACCACCCCGCAGGTTTTACCCGGCGCCCTACGGGCTGGCCCCCGGCCGGATGCTCCCCCCCGCCGCCCTGGCCCCCTACCTGCCCTCCCCGGTGTCCTCCTACCAGGTATGGGGGGGTTTGGGGGGGGTCCTGCCTGGGGGGGGGGTCCCCACCTGGGAAAGGGGCGGAGCGTTTAGGGGAGCCCCCACCTGCTCCCACCTGGTGCCACCCACAGGTCCACGGCCCCACCTGGATGCACCAGTCCTACCTCGTGCAGCCCACGGTGAGCCACGCCCGGTGCCACGCCCGGGGCCACGCCCGGAGCCACGCCCGGAGGGGGGGAGCAAAACAAAAAGCCCCGCTTGGATCTGCCCCACCCACTGCTGCCCCGCCCCGGTGGGGGAGGGGCTGCTGGAGCCCACCCGCTGCAGCCAAGGAAGCCACACCCACCTGTGACAGACCCCGCCCATTTTAACCTCACCTGGTGGGCCCTGGGCCCTGTCCCCTCCCTGATGTCCCCGGTGTCCCCGATGTCCCCAGTGTCCCCACAGCCCCGGTCCCTCTGTGCCCTCCCCTGTTGTGTCCCCTTTGTGTCCCCATGTCCCACTCCCTGTGTCCCCCGTGTGTCCCCATGGCCCTCGTCCCTGTACCCCCCCTCCTGTGTCCCCCCAGTGCCACCCCATGGTCCCCCCCATGTCCTCATGGCCTTGTCCCTGTGTCCCCCTCTATGTTCCCCCATGGCCCTGGTCCCTGTGTCCCCCTCTGTCCCCATGGCCTTGACCCTCTGTCACCCCCATGTTCCCCCGTGTCCCCCCTCATCTCCCCCATGTCCCCATGGCTCTGGTGCCTGTGTCCCCATTGTCCCCATGTCCCCCCATCTCCCCATGGCTCTTCAGGTGCCCCCCGTGTCCCCATGGCCCTGTCCCCCACCCGTGTCCCCATGTCCCCCGGTGTCCCCACGCTGACAGTGCCGTGCAGGGCGCGGTGCTGGCCCCTGCCGTGGACCACGCTGTCCCCCCGGTGTCCCCCCCGGTGTCCCCACGCTGACGGTGCCGTGCAAGGCACGGTGCTGGGCCC